CTTAGCAAATTTAATAGGACAGGCTCAGAGCAGCTCTTCTGGCCTTGAGGGACTGTCCTAAAGGTCTTATAGGACAACCTCTGAGGAGCATTACTGGCCCCCAATGGACTCTTTAAAGAATTTAATAGGACAGACTCAGAGCAGCTCTTCTGGCCGTCATACAGGTCTGATAGGACAACCTCTGAGGAGCACTATTGGCCCCAAAGGACTTCTTAGCAAATTTAATAGGACAGGCTCAGAGCAGCTCTTCTGGCCTTGAAGGACTGTCCTACAGTCTGATAGGACAGCCCTTGAGGAACACTACTGGCCCCAAAGGACTTCTTAACAAATTTAATAGGACAGGCTCAGAGCAGCTCTTCTGGCCTTGAGGGATTTTTCCTATACGTCTGATAGGACAAGTTCCAAGGGGCACTAGTGGTCCCAAAGGATTCTTCAGCAGGTTTAATAGGACAGACTCAAAGCAGGTTTCCTGGCCTTGAGGAACTCTCCTACAGGTCTGACATCTAGTAGTGTCCATGGGATCACTATAACTAGCGAGTATGCTGTATTTATTGACCAAGCATAGCTTCATCCTTCAACTTCAATTTGGGGTTACCATAATTTTGCGCTCAGCCATTCTGGCAAAAGGTTCAGATGGGTCCTGATGGGTCCTGCCAACTGCAGTGGAACACATGGCAAAAGCGTTGGGTTCATCCCTGTTGCAAAGCATGCCAGATAAGGAGGAATGTGTATGCCAGGGGGAATGAATTGTATGGTTCCCTCAAAGGATGCTGGATTGGAAATAATAGCATTACCCAGCCAAGATGGCTAAGGCTGCTGGGAGTTGCATTGCAGAAGCAACCAGGGAAGTTATTTGATTCTCACTCCACCATGGGAGCTTTGGAAGCACACTCTCCACCATTTCACAGATGAAAACCACACTCCATATAGCCAAGCAACAAGACTGGGGCCAAGATGGTAAAACATTATTGATGAGGAAGAAGAGACAAGCTTGGACAGGCTGCAGCAGATTTGCCAAAAGAGCTGAACTTACCGAAATGGGAACGTTTCCTTGTCTCCCATCTGATGAAGATTCATGAAAACTGGAAACTTAGGGCCAAGCCCTGCAATCTGGCAACCTCAAGTGGATCCTTGCTTGTAGTGGGGGGAAGGTAGTTTAAATATCTCTCAAGCCAATTTTTTATTTCAAAATCCCCCCCATACACACACACACAAAGCAACTATAAGCAGGGGGGGGGGGAAGCCCAAGATTGGTGCCCATGAAAGATCTTTCTTTCTTTAGCTCCCATAGGAGAGGGGGTTGAACTCCAAAAATAAAAATCAGCTGGGAAAAAAGGATTAAATCCCCTTGACCACCACATGATGGCCCCAATATGGATCAAGGCTGCACACCCAATTGTTGCTGTTATGCACTTTCAAGTCATTTCCGACTTATGGCAACTCTAAGTTGAACCTATCATGGGGTTTTCTGGGGCTGAGAGAGTGTGACCTGCCCAAGGTCGCCCAGCGGGTTTCCATAGCCAAACAGGGAATCGAACCCTGGTCTCCAGAGTTGCAATCCAATACACAAACCACTGGCTGGCTCTCATGCACACAATTACAGTTGGCCCTCCTTATCCATGGATTTTTTTATCCATGGATTCAAGCATCCATGACTTGAAAATATTCAAAAAAGTATAAATTCCAAACAGCAAACTTTAATTCTCCATTTTATATAAGGGACACCATTTCGCTATGGCATTATATTTAATGGGACTTGAACATCCACAGATTTTGTTATCCACGGAACCCAACCCCAGCAGATAACAAAATTCCACTGTACTTGAATGTACAAAAGGAAAATTACAGACTTAGAGATTTAACGGGAGGTGCAGTTTAGGTTAGAGCCTCCAAATGTTTATGTAGGAATCACTGTTAGAAGCACAATGAGAATTTCTCAGGAGAAAATTTGTTGGAAAAGCCTCCAGTTTTATTTTATATTTTTACAGCTAATCCTAGGTTGAAAGGAAAAACAAAATGGAAGGAAGAAACTCAGTGATGTAGTGGTGTCAGAGAAAAATGCAAAGAATTGCCAGGCCAGAGTCTAGACTAAATGATGCTCATTCCATTATTTAACGGGAAGCAAATTGCAACAATGGCGCACTGAATTGCTTTGGCAGAGGAGACTCCCAAAGCTTTGCAACCATATTTTTGGGGTTTTTGTGGCTTTCTTTTGACTTCCAGCTCAAGCTGTCTGCTTAGGAAAAGCATATCCTGCCCAGCTTTAAAAAAAAAAATCCTCTCTTTTCACGCTCCAGCTAATTCCGTACTCCAGTTTGCTAGTGAAATATTTGCCAAACATCTAACCAACATTTTGTGTGCACTAGACCCTCCAAAATTGCACAGATAAAAACTGGGCCACTTTGGTCATCTGTCTAGTCAGATTTATTCCAGCCCTGGTAGAAATAACCACTCTTTGCTTTAGCTCTTAACCCTTTCCCATCCTCTCTTTTGTCTTCCAGGGTGTTAATGGAGAAGAGGTCGAATGACAGCCGGGACTGTGGTCATCACAGGCGGAATATTAGCAACTGTCATATTATTGTGTATCATAGCCGTTCTCTGCTATTGTAGGCTTCAGGTATGAGAGGTCAAGGGGGTCGGGTAGAAGAGGGGCCTTATTAATTCATCCGAAATACTGTTGTGTATACCAATAGTTTGAAAGACTTTTCAATCTGTTTTTAACTCATGGGGTTGTTTAATGTGATTTTAGCTTCTCTAAATTATTTTATTGTTTTAAACTGTTTAACTTGTTTTAATGATATTTATATGCTGCCCTAAGATCATCTGATATAGGGTTGGGTATAATTAGTTTAGATAGATAGATAGATAGATAGATAGATAGATAGATAGATAGATAGATAGATAGATTTTACAGTGGGTATTATCTGCTGGGTTTTGGTTCCAGGACCCCCTGTGGATACCAAAATCCATAGGTGTTCAAGTCCCATTATATACAATGGGGTAGTAAAATGGTGTCCCTTATAGAAAATAGAAAAATCAAGGTTTACTTTTTGGAATTTTTTCTTTCATATTTTCAAGCTGTGGATGGTTGAACCTGTGGATGCAGCATCCACGGATATAGAGTGATGGCTATAATAGTAGTAATAGAAGCAGTAGTAATGCTGCTACTACAACTAACAACAATAACAACGATATATGCCCCAGGAAGTCCTAAAATCATGGCAAAAATGCCCCATATGATTCTTAGAGGGCATTTGGGGGCAAAGAATGATATACAGTCGCCCCTTCTCTCTCACCAACTTAAAGTCCACGGATTTGCATATTCACAAAGTGGCAACCTCCGTGAAAATCAACGGGGCGTGCCCCATTCAAGCCTATGGGGCTTGGATATATTCCGAATCTTTGTTTTCATGGGGGGGTCTGGAACAGATCCCCCACAAAGACAGAGGACTGACTGTATATATATTAGGTGAAAGTGCATGCAATGGGGGCTTCAGCCCTCCAAGATCTCCTGGGAGGGTGATGCAGCCCCCTACACTTCTCCAGTTGCCCATCCCTGATTTATACCATTATCCTTTTAGCAATGGAAGAAAGGGAGATGGCCTCAGTGGAAGCAACTCCTTGATGAATCTTTCTGTCTTCCCTAGTATTACTGCTGCAAGAAGGATGAGTCGGAAGAGGACGGAGAGGAGCCAGACTTTGACGTGGACTCCCACATCCCTCCACTCCACTGCAACCGCAATGTGGCTCTGACCAACGGCCCCTCCTTGTACCACTCGCCCTCCCCCTTCAAGAAGCACTCCCAATGTCGGACTGTCTGTCCCAGTTGCTCCCATTATGAGCCTCCCACCTTCTTCCTCCAGGAACCCGAAGAGGAGGTCCGGAACGGAGGCGATCTGGTCAACTACAAGGCCATCAGCCAAGAAGACCTGGAACTGCCTGCCAGCGTGAACAACCTCCAGGCCCTCAACCCCAACCGCCTCTCGGCCATGCGCGAAGCCTTCTCCCGCAGCCGCAGCATCAGCACCGACGTCTGAAAGGCCCTGGCATCTTCGTGACAGGAGACTGGCACCACCAGTTGGCCAAGGAGGCATGTGTCCCACCGCTGTGATGGAAAGGGTTGAATCGTTTCCTACACCTTCTGGGCTTTTTAAATAATAAGAATAAGAATAAGAATTGATAAGAATAAGAATGGCATTGCTCTTTTCAGTGAAGAAAATCCCTGGGGAGACTTTTAAAATGATGAATGTATTTATATGTTGTTATGTTTACCTATATACTTATTAATAAAGCATTGTATGCAATGGGTAAGGGGGAATGCAGATAGACCGCCAAGGGAAGGTTTTCTAAAGTCAGATACTGGCAATTCTGTATATCTATATATATCAAGAGAGAGAGAGAGAGAATGAAAATCTAAATGTATTTGAGCATTTTATACATGGCCTCCCTTTGTATGCATAAGATCATGTCCTCTTCTTTGCCACTGGCACATTCGCATGACTACTTTCCTCCTTCCTCGTTCTCCTTCCTTGGCCAAGACTGGGCCCTGAGTGATAGGTCCTTGACCTCCCGTGACAATTTTTGAAATATCTTGTTGAAATCTAGTTGGAGGGGTCAACTTCAGGCTTGACCTTTGGAGTATGTCTTCTGGGTTTATCTTAGGACTGTAGATGGAGGAGACAACTTTATGCATGCCTCTAGGTTGCCCAAGGTCAAACCATTCCATGCTTTGCGTGGTCTCATTTCCCAGGACTTACCATTAATAATACCTTCCAAAGAGACCAGGCCTTTGCTTCTGTACAAGATGACTTCTGGACTTTGTTATCAGGAGAGAAGAGTCTCAGGCAGATCCTCTGGGTTAGGGTCTTGTAGCTGCACACCTTCATATTTCCAACTCCCATTTTTGGCATGCTCCTGTTTCAAAGGACCAAACAGTTGTTTTTAGTTTTTGTATACCGGTGTTGCTCCATCTGCTGCTTCACCAAGTAGTAAAATTAAAAAGGATGGGTCCCTCGCTCCAAGGAGCAAACAATTTAAATAAATCCCAGTTGCGCTGTGATCTAATTTATTACAATAATCTGTGCATTTATGAGTCTGAAAGTGACAGCAAGGATAATGCAAGCTAGAAGGAAAGGTTATGGCAGGACCTCAGTGCTGTGAGCACAGCAGCTTTCTGCTAGTGTCCGTTACCTACCAAATTAAATGTGTTCTGGGTAACCCATATGGCTTTCCCTTCACACTTGATCCCAGTTCACCAACCAGAAATATATCTGGATGCACTAAAGATCAGGTGCCAGAATATCTGAAGACATGACTCATTAGAAAATACAATAATGCTTGGTAAAGTAGAAAGCAGTAGGAAAAGAGGAAGACCCCATTACAGATGGATAGACTCAGCCAAGAAAGTCTACAAATAAATGTATTATGCACATTGATGCACATTCACATCAAAGGTTAATTGTCTACACTTTCCTGTGCAAATTCACATCTATTTGCCTCTGTTTGCCCTCCATCTGCCAAAAATGCACAGCCATCTGAATCCGTGCAAAGCAGACCGATGGCCACACATGCGATAATGTGCATTTCTGCAGATTTCCACAGATACTTTGGTAACACCCATGAAGCCATTTTTTATGGAGGTGTTTGGAGGGGGGGCACAAAAAGCCTGCACTCTTACGAATTGCTTGTGGCTGGATCGCATCCTGTTCAAGTGGAATTAGGAATATTTTAAGCATGTTGACTTGCCCAAAGCCATAGCCCTGAGTTTGCAAGTCAGGAATAGGGTTGTTGATAACAAAGAGAACCTGGAGTTCTCTCATTTGTAGAGTTGCCATAAGTTGAAGTTGACTTGATGGCAGTAAATATCTGAGTACACAAGAGATCCGCCTCTTTTACCTTGTTTTGAAGAGAAAGTTGTCTGTCCGGGGTTGAGCTTGTGTTTCTACGATGAATGGAGGAAAATATTTTCCCCAGTCAAAAATGGGGAGGCTTGCACCCAGAATTGGTTTTGCCAGATTTCATTGACTGGATCATAATTGAGAATGCCATACAGGAAGAGGCAACTCAGGTCAAATTCAAAGGGATTTTGGTAATGGCGGCCTTTTTTGTTTGTTGACTAGCAACCAAGCAAGGCAGGGTCCTCTCCTTGGGAAACAGTAGTCTGAGGGGCAAATGCAACTGCATTATAATTGCAAAATTTCATGAAGCAAAATGTGGTGCTCTTGAGATATCAGCAGTCAAGGAATATTTCAATAAGAGTCTACCAGTGGTCAATGCACTATTTGGAATAGTGCGTGTGAAGTATATATATATATATATATATATATATATATATATATACACATGACTAGTGAAGAAATTCTGCATTTGCCTCAACTTGGGGGTCTTTTTGCACTGCACAGTTATAGAATTAAAGATATGGCTGTGTGAGTCTGAAAAATCAATATGTGACAGGATGTTGTAGCACTTTTGAGACAAACTGAAAGAAATTGGTAAGCATGAGCTTTTGTAGATTTGAACCTGCTTCCTCAGACTCAAGTCTACAAAAGCTCATGCTCCCAGCTTCTTTCTTTCCCTTGGCCTCA